CTGGCCCCCCCGGAGCTCACGGGCTGGGAGCCGGGGGAAGGGGGAGTCTCCTAACGCTACCCCGTGTGCGTCGGAAGGGGACAGCACCGGAGCCTGCCCCCCCGGGGACCGTTGCCCCGCTGCACGAGCCGTTACCTCCTCTCCCGACTGGAACTCGTCCATCTTTCCGCCGGCTCGGACCGCAGCCCTTAGCACCCGGACCCCGCCCCCTTGATAGCCCTCCGCCAACTGCCGGCTACTCGCGCCACGCCTGCGTGCTGAGCGGAACGGTGCCTCTAGTGCGCCTGCGCTTTCAACCTCATTCTGTCTTCCGAAGTTTCCGTTAGTTGCTAGCGGCTCCCATTGCGCCTGCGCCTCTACACCGCTCTCTAGCTTTCTCCCTTCCCCTTCCCCTCCCCCCGCGTTTGGAGCTGGTACTGCGCCTGCGCAAACCACCTTGCATTGTTCGCCGCCTGTCTCCGGCCTTAGCAACAAGCGGAGCCGTGCATTGTGGGATACTCTGGTGCTCAGAAAGGCGCCGCTTGCTCCCCGCAACCCAATCCTGTGACAGCAGCCTGTGAGCGCCTCGCGGCCCCACCCAACGCCTCCCATGTGACGCAGGTGGTGGTTGCTGGTTTCCACGGCAACCTGCGTCCCCGCCCGTATGACCGCGGGCCGGGCCTGCGAGTGAGTGCGCGCAACTGGGCCTGTTTGCCTGGCTCTGGCGCAGCCCCTGTAGCCTCCGCGCTGCCCGTGGCAGGGGCGCGCTGCCCGGCCTCCCGTGGGAGACGCTTTCACGCAGCGGTCCCCCCTCCCCCAGAGAGGCGCCCCCACCGGGTCAGCCCCGTCTAGCGTGCCCGGAAGCGGGCACTTTCCAGCCGGCAAGCCCGAGCCTTTAGGCCGGTGGTGTGACCGGAGCAAGGTCTGGTCACGGGGGCTGTAACCTCGCCTTACGGGAAAGTGTGTGTGACGTTGCCAGGGCGCGCGTCTGGGCAGGGTGACCTCAGTGACGTGGTTCCAAGTCACCCCATGGGAAGAGTTGGCTCCATGGTGACATATTATTGGTTGGTCTCTGATTTACACCGATGCGACGTGGGCCTTTGTGTCCAGCCCAAAATCCTGCCCCCAGTGTAGTATTGCCAGGAGTCCCGTTCCTGACTGGAACACTGGTTGAATGAAGACCCAGGTGGATACACTCGGCTCCATTGCCCAGATGAAGTCCGGTTGGTGGCACAATGTGGGCTCCGGGCAAAGGCAGGCGCCCTCCTGCCCTGGCTCTATGCAGCTCCAGAACTAGATGTCATGTTCCTGTGGCCCTAGGCACATGTTGAGCTGCCAAGGTGGTTCCTTGTGGTGCTCCAACCTAAGCAATGTCTCCAGCGCTCCCATTGGTGCATGTGGGCATAAAGCAGCAAGCAGAGCCTCCTTGGCTGCTTGCCATGCAGTGAGGGGATGCAAGGATTTGGTGGCTGCTTTTTGAGAGCTGCAGTAAGCACTACTGAGACTCCCACTCTCCAACCTCTTGCCCCAGCCAAGATTTTCCCACAAGCTGGGCACACTTGCTCCTAGAGCCTGCACCCCAAACCTCTGCCCCAGTGCAGAGTCCCCTTCTGCATCCCAACCCCGAAGGTTTCAGCTGTGCTCTCCTAAAAGATGGTTCAGGAGTTAGGGTACCCTCCTAGGACTTGGGAGAGCCAAATTCAGTTCCCTATGCCACTCTGTACTCTGTGTGACCTTGGGCAAGTCACTTATTCTCTGTGTGTTTGTTGCCAGTATAATGGGGATATTAGGGTAGTTCCCTACTCAGAGGGATGCTATAAGGATGAATATATTAAGGGTTGTGAGGTGCCATGCATGTACATAGACACTGCTTTTCATTGACCTCGGATTGGGCTCTGAGTCCTCTGATCTCTCTTCTCCCAGTATGGCAATTCTGTCCACACCCCAACATAAGTTACCGAAGTACAAGACTTGCTGGTGTGTGTCCTTGTTCCTGCAGCTTGCAAAAGCAGGGATTCTCACATTCTATAGTGTGGCGTGAGGCATATCTTGAAAGAAGACATTTTGAGATCATATCCCGGATCATATCCAGCCCCGAGCGCCCCACCCTGGCCCCACCCCAGAGCCTGTGCTCTCTTCTGAAACTCAACCTCCTGCCCCAATCCAGAGCCCCTCTCCCATCCTGCACCACTCTTCTGCCCCACCCCAGAGTTCATGCCCTGTCCTCCCCCCCCCTCCCAGCCAATGCTGTCACCCTCTCCTCACACTCCAATCCTCTCCACCACCACAGTGAGACTGAGTGAGAATAGGGCGGAGCCATGGGGATAAAGTGAGTGGGAGATGAGGCCTCTGAGAAGGGCTGGGGGAGGAGCAGGACCATGAGGGGGTCAGAGAAGGGATGTTCTGTTTTGTGTGATTAGAAAATTGGCAACACTACCTGGGTCCCCAAGTAACTTTTTGCCAGTGTGTATTGAGAGTTTTTATGTTGATAAAGTAGTGGCCTTGACTAGAAAATGCTGAGATGTGAGAATCATTAACAGATCCAGAAATGCCAATTCTTGTGATTTTATCTTAAGTCTTAGACTGGTGGTTTTGTCAAAGCAGCAGCTTTTGGGCTGTGATTAGATGAACATCTCACTTTCATTAAAATAAACAACAGAGTATATGGTCCTCATGCTCGTGGAGGAAAGCTTGCAAACATGCCCCAAGTGGATCTTACAAAACCAGACAAAAAGATTCCAAAATTTGTTATTTTTAATTTCATGATTTTCCAGACAATCTCATTATTTGGAGGGAACCTGCTCGTTATTTTTGAAAGTTTGAGGTGGGTTGGCAGAACTGCAGAGCCAACACTTTCAGCCCTTACCTAGTCTTTACTACAGTAAAAATATTGCCTGAATAAAAAGAAAGGACATTACTTCTTCATGGGTTTATCTTTATGCACATGAGTAGTTCATTTTATTTAAGTGAGAATAGTTTGTGTTTAAAGTTAAGCATTTGTTGTTTGGACCTGTTGGATTAGTAGAACTGGGCGATTAAAGAGTCACAAAATTATGTATTTTATCACATGGTTGGCAACTGTTTATCATACCTTTTACTGATATATGCCACTTCTTAAGACATCTAAGAAATAAAAAGTATCCTATTGCCCTGTTTTATGCACTGTTTGATCCAGGAATAATTGCTCCTTTAAACTAGAGCTTAGCTTGACCTGGAAAAAGAGGCTCAGTACCCCATCCCAGAATATGAAGAAGTTTGGATGCAGATGGTTATTCAGGCCTAATTCTGTAACAGGTTGGACTGGCATCCAGATATCCAGGAATTTTTGTTTTTTTATCTGGTTCCAGATTCATATTTGGTGAGTTAAATTTATTTCTACTTTTTATAGGTATTCATTCAAGAAAGTTCCTGGTGTGTGTCTATCAATTATTATTTGTGGTCTGCTGCTGACTGAACAGGAACCAATCTTGTTTCCAGTAAAAGGCCAGCTCATTTTACCAGTGTTTTTCTATCTGAGGAAATTGTAGTTGTGCAATTTTCAGAAAGCGAAATAATTCAAAAGTCTAAGAATGCATAGCCACCACACTTCCTGTGGGTAGCTCGGGAGCCGAAAGTACATTTTGATTAATTCAGCATTGCATTTTCTCACGGTGAACCTCTTTTTTTAAAATCTGAAAGAAGCTAATAATTTCTGTTTGATCACTGGTCTTTGCTTTGCTCCCAGCAACAGTAGTGTTTTGGAGCCTGTAGTAGCAGTAGCAACCATCCCTGGAGCCAGGTCCTTGTTGACTGCCACAGGGGCCACAACCAGTAGCAACCATCCCTGGAGCCTTGTTGACTGCCACAGGGGCCACAACAGATGCTTTACACCAACTCTGGTATCTTCAGCAATGAAAAAGGTGAGGATAAATCAGTTTTTTTCAGCAAAGAAAAAATGAACTCAATCTTGAATGAATAGATCACTTGTACAGTTCTTCTTACTGTGACAGCTGAAAAGGTAAGGCATGTTTTCAATCTGTTGTATCTAACACAACCGGAAAGAAAGGATTTTTGCTTAAACAATATTGCTTAGTATTTAAAAGAGTTGAGGAAAGATTTGGAACTTGAACTGTTGTGAACTTACTTTGTTGTTGAAGTAATCGTTTACTGGAAAACCATGGTGGGATGATATTAATACTGCCAAGAGAGAAATTCAAGCAACATATTTAATTTTACAACCCAAAAGACATTGTTATGGGCACACAATCTATCTCTATATGAAAATTAAAATGTTGCAGTGAAGTAGGGCAAAATCTTTTCATAATTCTTTTCATCAAGTAAATTATTAATTCAGTTGGTGTTTGTTTGAGAGACAGCTGCCATAAATGCCATTAGCATTTGTGATTAGCATGTTTTCCCAGTACTCTAAGGCTGTACTGTGGATACACCACATCTCTCTTTTGAATTAATAGGTCTGATAGTCAAATTATCTCAAATCAGGTCCTGACTTTCACAGATTATTTTGTATGCATTTGATTCAGTGTCACTGCCAAATCAAACAAATAAATGTGGCTATAGGAATTGGTAATGTTATTCATAGATCTCAAAATGAAAATACCCAAATCATTTCAAATTAAACAAAAATGTTCATATACAAAATACTATTATTACATATGTCACTATATGTATATGTATTATTACTATTACTATTAATAATAAAAATATATAATATTTTGCCTTTCATCTGAGAATTTTAATTTAGAAAGCTCTCAGTTTTTTACTCCTTGCTGAGCTCATCTGAGTTCCGACTGGTGCCCCTAGCAAAAATGTCTCTGTTTTATTAGCAATGCTTTGAGATATCCAACCCCCAAACGAGTACTATTTAAAGAGTCAGTCTTACTGTATATTGCGTGCAAACAAGCAGCCTGGAGAGAAAGGGTAAAGTTGCCAAGTCAAACTGAAAGATTAAGAAATTCCAGAAGTTACTCATGCAAATTTAATCTTGCCCACTTGTATGTATGCATTATGCTATCACCTATAATTATATGGACATGTATTTTATTTTCCTGCATGTGTGGTTATCAGCAAAATTTGTACTCAGAAATTCCAGATCCACATTGCAGTCCCTTTGTGCTAATGGCATAATGTAGCGGAACTAAATAGCTGTCTTCTAGATAGACCAGCCCATAGATGGGAAGATGATACCCACTTTGCAAGTGATAAAATGACAGTTACGTGTGGAAGAGCAGTGGAACGTTGGAAATCAGTATTTCTTCCTCTGTTCCTGACTTTGTGATCAGAATGTGATTTAGTTGTTAGAGTGATGTTTATAAACAATTTAGCGAAGTACTTAGGGCACATGCATTCCAAAAAGCATTCTGTCAAAGTGGATGAGGATGGTGGTGCTCTTATTAGTAGAGTATTAATATTAATTGCTTGAGATGGTTAGCGAATGTCTAGTGTAATATCACTGCTAGGTTTTGCTTGGCCCCAGTGCCAATTACATCTGTGGAATTTGCTAGCCTCCAAATGACATGCCTCAGAATTTTTACTTTCAGATTTACTAAGGACATTGTAGCAATATTATCTTTTCAAATCAGTACTAGAGAAACAGAAGGCACTATTCACTAATTATTTGGAGGCCTGATGCTGTGTGGTGCTGCATGCCTCCTGCAAAGTGCCTCCTTAGGGATCTCATCTCAGTACCTTTCAAGAGAGATTCAGTAACCTGGGAGGATCAAACTCTAAAAGAAGAGCCTTAAAGAAATGATTGTGGTGAAAAATCAACATGAGCAGTGGTTGTGCATGTCTTTGAAAATGTCCTATATTGTGAGACTGCATAATTGTGGCTTTTCAGACTTTAAATGTATTTTGGTAACTTCCTGTGAAAACACAGTTGGTAAGGAAATACAATGATTGTTCATATCTTTTTCTCCTATGTTTCCACCGGAAATTCATGCATATTTTTTCTGTAACAGTGTTCTGTGTGAAAATCTGTCATATTTTTGTCATAATAGGATTTTATCAAAAGATCGTAAATAGACGAGCAAATACATAGCTACTCTTTGGATATAAACAGCAGCATCTCATCCTGCCGCCTTTTGCAAAATTAGGTGGATAAAGTGGAGGTAGCCTGACAGCCTGGATGTAATACACACACATAAAACAATGAAATAGGTAAAAAATATCTTCAAATAAATTGGCAACATAGACTCTCTAGTATCACGTAATAAGTCAGATCTTCAGCTGATGTAAATCAGTGTAATTTCATTGGCTTCAATAAAGCTACACCTGTCTATACTTGTGAAAGATCTGTCCTTGAGTATTTAATACCTGATAATTTAGAGACTCTTCCTCATAAAGAATAATGTTATGAATATAGAAATTTGGAGATGTGCCCTGGAGTCAGGGGTTGGGAACATTGGGTTTGTTTCCATCGAAATGCCTCACTTAGAAGCAAGTAAGCAATCCCAACACACAGAAATATCATGCCCCCTCATTGTGAAAATGTTTTTGCAGGGCTTCCCTGACATTGATGGCCACCCTCTGTGCTCCTCTGACAGCGTGAGTGTCTGGCTGTTCAAACTGTGCACCCAAGCAACATGCCTCAGTGCTCCATTAACAGGTAAAATGTATGTGAAAATAAAGATGACTTCAGCCTTACTTTCACAGAAATTATGTAAGCAACAGCATTTGGCCACCACCTTGGAGATGTGATCCTCCAAAAGATACAGCCTACCACAGAGACACCTCCATCTTCCAACTAATCTGCCAAAGGCACATTCAACAATCATTTGGCAGTGGCTTAGCATGTTGTTCAGATGCTTCTTACACAGGGTATCTGGACAGCAGTAAGGCTTCATGAGCCTTCATGAGCAAGGAGTAGACTGTGTCACCTAGGATCACTCTGGGCGTTTCCACATCCCCCACTATGAATTTCTGGTCTGGATAGAAAAATGTCAACATACAGCCTCCTGTATAGGCTATTATTCCTGAAGATGCGTGCGTCATGCACTTTTCCAGATCACTTCACGTGTTTTTGAAATGCCCTCGGTGATCCTCAAGCACTTGAAGCACCATGGAGAATTACTCCTTATGATTGATATACTCAGAAGCAAGGTAGGGTGATGCTGTAATGGGGATGTATATCCCATCTATTGCCCTACCATGATTAGGAAAGCCCTTTTCAGCAAAGCCAGCCACTATGTCATCCACATTTCCCAGAGTCACATTCCTGTCCATTAAATGCAATTTATTGCCACACACACTTTCAGAAGTACTGCTCTGATGGTAGACTTGCCCACTCCAAAATTATTGACAAGTGAGTAGTAGCAAACTGGAGTGGCCAGCTTTTACAAAGCAATGGCAACACACTTCACTATCACGAGAGCAGCTCTCATTTGGGTGTCCTTCTGATGTAGTTCAGGGGCCAAAGATTACTCTGTCTGCTGTGACACAATTATGCAAATGAAGCATAGGATATTTAAATCCCCGCTTTATTTGCACTTTTGATTTGCCTAATTTACATCCCTCTTTTGACAGAGGGATGTAGTTTAGACATACCCTAAGAGTGTAGCTATTTAACCAGGTAACCAATAGCCAAATGGTTAGATGTGGCTCCCAGTCCAGCTCCCGGGAAGCCAGCTGCTGCCCCACACTGCTGCCTCTGTATTAGAGGCAGCAGCACAAGGCAAAGGCAGGAGCTGACAGAGGCAGCAGTGCAGTGCAAAAGCTGATGCATGCCAGGAGCTAGATTTACCAGCTCCCAACACACATTAGCTCCCAAGCAGCTGGCTGCCGCCCCTCATGTAACTGTATAATTGCTGAAATTTTCAGCAATTACTCGGTTAGCAAATTGCATACATTTTAACATCCCTACAAGATAGTTGACATTCTGGGTTTATGGAAATGGGTTTAGAATTTAATGCATGTGATGTTCTATAGTTGTTAGCTGTTATATACGACTTAATTTGTTTTCCTCTAAGAGGAAAGATGTTGTGATAAGTTTGTAGAAGATTAATTAGAGAAGTTCCTTCGTAAAAGGTGGTAATATGAGTGTAGGAATTTGGAGATGTGTCTGGTGGCAGGAATTGGTAACATCTCATTCCTGTGTGAAGAAATGCTCTCCAGTTTGTTTTATTAAAGCTTTTTTCCCCTTTTCATTCATTTGGTTTGTAGTTTAATGAACCCCAAGATCATTATAATGCTCAGATTAAACACTCAAGACTTTATTTAAAAATAATTTTTATTTCATCACTTTATTATAGTAGAGATGGGTCAAAATTGGTCTGCTTTTAAACTCTCCTGAATAAATCAGACAAACCCAAATATAGACTTTATAACCTAATACAGAATCATAGTACAGTAAACTTCTGATAATACAGCACCTTTAGGACCCAGGGGGTGCCTGATTATCAGATATGTCGGACTATCGGAAGGGGAAGCTATGAGGGTTGTGGGGTGGAGTGGGGGGATGCGCCCCTCGGCGCTGCAGGACCAACCCTGCAGCACCCCAGCTGCTCTGCCCCAGACTTCCCCC